TTGGCAACGGTGCCATTTGATAACTACATTTTTACTGCTAGTTTAAATCAAAGCCTAAAGCACGGTTCTTTCGTTGTAGTACTTTAGGTGTCAATCTAAATCAGGTTGATGAAAGATGCTAAGAATGCAAGAGCTTTGTAAATCTAAGTGAAATCCGGATAAATGAGGGAGAAAATCTGTAAAAACTAAATGCAGCTACTAAATGACCACGAAAACTATTTTAAAATCCCTACTGATGGGTTAAACAACTAGCAGATGACCTCTAAGAATTTAAAATGCAAAACTACTGGTTTTTAAAATTCGAAAGCTAAAAGCAGAATAAAAAGAAAGTTCTAACAACCTAGGAAATGATTTTTAAGATGTTAAGACAAAAGATTCAAACTTTAAAACTAGAAAATGATGACTTTAAGATTTCAAAAGCTAAAAGTAGATTCAAGGTTGAGGATCATGCTTAAGGAGATTCAAGATTCAAACTTGGGGTTTTGAAAACATAGATCTACACATTTTAGTGCTATCTCTAGGCCTTGAGAAGCTAAACTAGATTTATCCATGGTGTTTGGTATAAATCCTTTTCTCAAACTTTCCTTCTAACCCATGGCGTGTGGTGGAAAGAAAGGGAGAAGAACATGAAGCATAAATCTCAAAAAAATGGCCTAACTAGCTCCCTAAGCATCCATGGCGTTTGGGAAAGGATGTGCTAGTCTCTTGGATTTGGGTTTAAGGGATCTCCTGAATCCTGCTAAGGTAAGGAAATCTCTGAGATCAAAGAGATCTTTCTCAAGAGTCTCTAGGTATTAAAACCCCTAAATCCAAGAAGAGATTAAGTTAACCGCAAGAAAGACCCAAGCTTAAACCCTTGAAACCCTCTTAATCACCTCAACCTTAAACCCCTTGGTGGATTACTCACTACTCATGATTAAAACATATGAAAATGCAAAGGAAGAAAAGATGAACATGATTAAATAAATAAGCAAGAAAGATTAAGAGAAATATTTAAGATTAAAAGCAAGATTAAGGTTTTACAAAAATATAAAAAGCTTAAAACGAACAATGGCGGTTTTTTTTTTTTGCTTGAAAGAAAGATAAAAGATAATGGAGACTAAAGAAGAAAAAGACAATATGAATGTTCTCATCGCTCCTAAAGATAGGGTAGATAAAAGGAAATGGTCCCCTCACTAAACTCCAAAACATGAGCTGTCCGGATAAGGTTCAGAGATCGATCTGATTCGTCGATCTTTTAACTCGATCTTCCGCATAAAACGTCTTCTTTTGCTCGATCTTCGGGTCGATTCAGTCGGGAGGATCGAGCGCTTCTATCGATCTTCTGGTCGATCCTCGGATGATCGAGTCATGACCTCGATCTGGCTCTCGTTCTTCCCGGGCTTAGTTTCTGTGTCCGTACTCACATTCGATCACCTTGGTCGATCTTGACCTCGATCTTCTTCCTTCAAACGACCTGAGTGTTTCGATCTTCTGGTCGATCTCGTCTAGATCGACCTGCCTAGCTCGATCTTCTCCTCGATCTCGGTTCCTTTGCTGCATGGCCGAGTTCTTCCAAGTGTCCATAGGCTCCCTTTTCAGCATATCCACGCATCCTCCATAGCTCCAGTGTATCCAAAACAACATGAATATGATGCAAGAATGCAAGAAATATGCAAAATGCTAATGCAAAGTGTTCTAGGACCTAAAATGAGATAAATGGTACAAACTAGCCTATCATGAAAGATGTATGCATGAAAACTACTCTAAATGTATGCTAAATATGCGAAATATATGAGTATATCACTTCCCTCTTCTGCCCACACTACAGCATCCATAATACTGCGACCATATGGAGTGATTTATTACCATCTTCTCCCATTATCGTGTCCATAGACATCAAACTCACCAAAACGCACAAACACTGCATCATCGATTCAAACATAGGCACCCTCTTCTACAATTCTACAATTACCATCATATACATCTGCACTCATCTAAGTCCACTAGCTATATCAGTAACCAGGACCCGAACTATGTTCATCGGCACGTGTCTTCTTCAATATCTCACATACATTTCACGATACCAGCCTGAAGCGGAATGACCATTGGTCCCTGTTCCATGCAAACTTTTCACCATAATCTCTTACGCCCCACCTTCTGTCCATCACTAACTATCCATCCACTCGCACAGTTACTAAAACTCCATTGACGTTTATACTCATTTCTCTCAGTGTTTCCACCCGATTTGTCTAAAACATTTGGGTTTTTTATAGAGCTCATTTCGTCAAAACAATGCATCCAATCAAATCTACATTCATCAATCTGAAATCATTTGTAGAAGTACAAAAAATGTCAAACGGATGAAGAAGAAAGCAAAAAGGGAAATCCAGCAAAACAAAATCATTAGTAGATTGATTGGAATATAAACTAACCCAAACGATAATATCAACCATCCACAATAGAACTACTACTGATTCGAGAATAACCAGAAGCCATTCCCGTTATTTTAGCCGATGTTTCTCCTCCGGATGATTAAAAATAACTGTGCAACGACGTTGAACAAACTACTCTACATGGTTTCAGATTCGATGCTCTTGGGCAGTGGTAATTATGGAATCTGGCGTAATACGAAATCTTATAAATTTGTTTTAGGATTTTTATCTGAATCTAGCGAAATAACTAATAATATAAAGGTAACAGAAAAATTGCAGAGTAGCTGATTTTTTTTAAATAATTAATTAAAAAATATGAATTAATAAATAAATAAATCAAAAAATAAAATTGATATAATATATTATTAATGTATTAAGTAATATAAAAATACAAAAATAAACAAAAAATACAAAGTTACTAAACTAAAAATATATTTATTCGTAGATATATTGATAAACTAATTATATGTAATCTTTTATAGTTGCTTAATTCCTTCTCGTACGGTATGCATATGTACTTCATTCATTTTTTTTTCTTTTTTTTTTGTAAAAAATGCGGTTCAACATTTTCTCTACTTTTATCATTATTAGCAAATTGTTCTTGTGGGATTGCATCTCTTTGTAAAGCATTATCAAAAAAAACAAAATCTGGAATTTGATAAAGACGTATGAGGTTATGTAATCTAGCTGTTGTTATCATTACTTTATTTTGTGTCTCGACATTGTATCTTGAAAACTCTGATAAAACCCTCCATTTTTTCTTTCATACTCCAAATGTACGTTCAATCACTGAGCAGAGAGAAGAATACTATCAGTTAAATAACTATTCTCCATCTCTAAAAGGACAAGCATCTTCACATTGTGTTTAATGATATATGTGACCTCTATATAGAGCTAAAAAAATCCTCACGTGTTAATATAACCAGAATCTACCAGATAATACTTCATAGGCAGCTGAGTTGACTCTAGTAAAAAAAATAGGCTATAGCCACGACAAAGTCACGATTGTGTCGTGGCTTTCCTGAAACAAGCCACGAAAAAACCACGAAAAGGTCACGTAAACGAAAAAAAAGAAACGTGATAATTTCGTGGCAAACTAGTCACATTTTAGTCACAGAATCTGGTGTAACAAGGTTAGCCACTAATATATCGTGACAACATAGTCACGAACAAATATCATTGCTTTTTCGTGGCTTGTTTTATAAAAGCCACGACACAGTCATGGCTGTAGCCTGTTTGTAGCAGCAAATGCAATGATACGAATTGAATCACATATCGGGAAGATGTTTCTGATTATGATATGCAACTCGTATGTCCTCCAAATGACGAATACATATCAGAATATGAATTAAATAATTCAAAAAGATCTTAAATAAAATATAACTAAACATACAAACTCTAGATCCTAAAATCAAACCATGTATCATAAACTCAAACCATAATCCGTAAACCCTTATATATAAACAACTTCATACCCTTATATCTAAACTCTATCAAACCCTTATATCTAAACAACTTCAAACTCTTATATTTAAACCCTATCAAACCCTTATATCTAAACCCATAATTAATTAGACACTACAACACTTATAGAAATCATACATTTTATCATTACACTTTGTATATCTTTGTCCAAACTTTATACACAATCAACATATTCTTCAACATTTATAACAAATTTCAAAAATTTCAAAAATAAATTATATTCTAAATTTTAAACTCTAAACCCTAAACATAATTAATCAATATAAATATATATATATATATATATATATCCAAAATTAAAATCCACATTTATAAAATATTTTAAAAATATACCCAAAATCTCAAATCCTAAAACTTAAACATTTATATATCTTAAACTCTATACCCTAAACATAGTTAATCACTATATATATTCAAAATTTAAAATTTACAATTATAAAGATTTCAGAACTATTCAAATATAATCATTTTCTAAATCACAAATCCCAAATTCCAAATCATAAACCCCAAAAATTAAATCTTAAAACTTAAATCTCAAACCCTAAATTATGAACTCAAACCCTTATATATCTTAAACTCCAAACTCTAAACATAGCTAATCACTATATATATCCAAAAATTAAAACCTACACTTATAAAAGATTTCACAAATATTCAAATATAATCATTTTCTAAATCACAAATCCCAAATTCCAAATCATAAACCCCAAAACTCAAATCTTAAATAAATCTCAAACCCTAAGTTATGAACTCAAACCCTTATATATCTTAAACTCCAGACCATAAACATAGTTAGTCACTATATATATCCAAAATTTAAAATCCACACTTATTTTAGATATATTTAAATCTAATCATTTTTTAAATCAGGAATTTCAAATTCCAAATCAGAAACCAAAAATCTTAAATCCTAAAACTTATATAATAAACCCCAAATTATGAATTCAAACCCTTAAACTTTACACTCAAACATGAAATCTAAATTCAAAATATAAAATCAATTATGAATGAAACATGTCATCAAATTACTTTGAAAATAATATTTTAAATTGAAAATATTACTACAATCATAATATTTAACCTTTTCAAATGCTGATAAAAATGATAGTTTTTCATTGGTTAATCAATAGACATGAGAATCACACTTACTTTTATTCTCAACCATTGATAAAACTAAATCAATGGCTATAAATCTTTTCATTCTATGTTTTTCTCAGTCTTCCTCTTACTTCTTTGACGGTGAATCTCATCACTTTCTCCTCTACCTTCTCCACTTCTTCTTCTACTCTGCGTCTCATTCAACCTCTTCTCCTTCTTCAGATTTTCTTATTTCCTCTCTGTCTCCTTCCTCTTCCTCTTCTTCTCCCTCCTCGTTTTCTTCAGATCGACCGCCACTGTTCCTCTTCCGTGCATCCAGCCTCCTTCATTGATGCTTTGAAACACATGTCGCCTTCGATACACCATAAGTCTTCTCTTCTCCTTCTTCATTCTCCTCCCCCTTCGTTCTTTTCTTCTTTCGATCTAACTTTTTTTGTTTGTTCAGATCCGTCATCGTCTCCATCAATAATTCTCATCCGTGCTTCCTCGAAAAACCACTGTGGTAAGTCTCCTCTTCTCCTTCTTCTCCCCTTATCTCTTCCCTTCTTCTCCACCTTATTTGTTTCAGATCTAACTCAGTTTTTTTCATATCCAGTAGCCTGCTCCTCTATGATGCTCACAGCTGGTTCTCGATCTCGTCATCTCGCTGCTCAATCTTTGCTGCACCGTGCTAGTGAAATCTGCCACATCACCGTCCATATATTATCCACCGTCAAATTTCTAGAACACCAAATTTGTTTTCAGGACAAAAATGTTTAAAAAAAAAAAAAGATATACAATTCGTCACGGAAACAAACTGTGACTAGTAATTAATCATTAAAAAATTTCATATCCAGAAATATCACAATTTAACCATTAAATACCATTACCACAAAAATAGTTACTATTTAACCGTGGCTATATAGACACGGATAATCGTGTGACTAAATCATGACTAATGTTGCCACGAAAAACACTAGTGACTAATTTGTGGCTATGTGGCTACGAAAAGCCACGAAATAAATTAGTCACGATTGTATAAACACGTTTCATATAGCTATAGTATTTTTGCGTTAGATACGAAAAAAATAGTGGCTATAGCCAGATTTTTTACTAGTGTGAAAAAGTCGGATCACACTTCATTGTGTAAGACAAGACTCTCGCATCATGTACAGATCCAGGACATCCCTCAAATATATATATATATATATATATATATATATGTGTGTGAATAATAAATCCAAACTGTCTTGTCTCCGAATGCCTATTATAACAATGAGTCGCCTATGCACCAGTCACCATGACCATATAATTAGTATCATTTATTGCACCAATGAAGCTATTAAAGTTACGGCCAATAATTTGTATCATTTCGTAAACCTCAGGGTACCTGATATAGCTGATTAGGAAACTGCTTCCTAAGTAATTTAACAGATAGTTTTGTGCATGCATTTGCACATTTTTTAAATTTGCGTCCAACCGTTTCTTGTGCCTGTCCGAATAAAAGGCCAACTGAATGTTGTGCCATGTTATTACCACATATCACAAGAAACATTGCCACAAGTTTCTCCTACAGATATGTTTTTTGTGGATTTTGTTTCAAACTTTGTGCGTAATCTTACATAGATGTGTAAACACTTCCATGCGCATCCTGAAAAGATATAAGAAATCCCTTGAATAATTATTAATCATTATCTTAATGTTTCACCATCCTAAGCCCTATTTATTTTCTATTTGTTATCGATAATAATATTTTGTATAGTAAACTATCACAGGTTTGAAGAGTGCTTCGATGATATCACCATGTGCTCGAGCAAAATTAGTTTAAGTAATTCACTGTCTATCAGATTATGTAACCAACGTGGATGTAATTTGATAATGCGATGAATCTGAAAATAAATATAACTTTATTAAGAAACACTTAACAAATATTATAACTAGAAACAGTTAAGTAAAAAAAAAACTACAAATTTTTAAATAATAAAAAGTAAAATATAAATAACTATTTAGTTTTCTCCATTATTTTTCACTTGCACGACTAAAGTCGGAAAAAATTGAAAACGTTCGAGTAATTCGGCTGCGGTTGTCGGTCTATACCCCACCTCTTCATCTGAAACAACTCTATGATTTAGAGTCACATAAAATTGTGGGTTTGGGTTCGGATCTTGAAATCATTGTCTTGTTCCAAATTGGTTTGGACAACCAGAACCACCAAAATTTGAAAATTTCCAGAGATTTAAATTACCACAAAATGTGTAAATTTTCCTAAGCCTGGAGATTCTGATCCATTACCAACAAATCCTCTAGTACTTGGTCTGTTAGAACCACTAAGTTGTCGTTTCCATGGACTACCACGGAAAATACCATTGCGGTTATAACATGACACCCTTTCTCGAAAATGTATTCTACAAATCTTTTTTGCTCAAACGAATCTTTCAAAATCTCTGTTGCTGCCCACCAAAAGACTGTAAATTTCTCTAATCTTGTAATTGATTCAATTGTAACCAAGACTCACATTCGTATTGTTTTCATTTGATGATCCAGAAACTCCATTCGACTTATAATTTCAATTTTGTTGAAAAGAAAATTATAAAATTACTTATTTATAATAATTTGTTAAAACAATTGATATGGATGTAATGATATAATTTTAAATAGAAGTGTTTGTGTTTAAAATGTAAATATATAAATTAATATATTATCATTTAAAAAGTAATTAAAATGATAGAACTGATTATAATAAACATGTTTAAAATTTGTATTAGTTACTATTTTTATTTTCTTCTAAGCATAATAAAATAATTGTTTTTTTCATTTTTACTCACAAATCAAAAATTTAAAAGAAATATTAATTTTGATTGATAAAATTTGTTTTACAAAAATCACAATTAAACATTTTTGATTTATTAATGCTTAATAGAAAAATGAATGAAAACATACATGATTTGTGTTTTGCCAGAAGCTTGTGATAACTACAATTGTTTTTTTTTCTGTTTCAACATTGCCTAATATCAATGGGTTGAATATGATGATTGCCATCAAACTCTTAATATATAACGAAAGATTTATACTTCACATGAAATGTTTTTTTAACTTGTTTTGTATTTTCTTCACCTCTAATATAATCAATCATGTAAGTTTGCATATTATTACACAAATCATCAACAAAGACAGGTCCAAACCAACACATTTTACAGTGCCAAACTAATTTTTCTACTAAATTATATGCATGCACTATGACATGTAGATATTTAGTAAATAACAAAACAAGTTTCAGCAATTCAACGGATTTCTCTTTTCTATTTTTTTTTCTCTTCTTCCACCATTCCACAATTAATGTTCTCAGCTGAAATTTCTACAATCTACAATTCAACAATTCCTTATTTACCAGTTTGAGCCATAATATATATATATAAACAAAGTGGAATACATGGGCGAAATGCAAGACATAATATATGAGTGGATACAACACGGATACTAACCACAATCCCAAACCCAGAAATAAAACAATAATTTTAGAATATCAAGCTAAGACTACTTATAATAGACTTGTTGAATAAAAAAAAAAAACAGTTCAGTGTTTATAACAGTAGTAGTTGAAAAAAATGTTAAAAATAAGGTGGATAAATCAACATTGAATTAATTCCACAGATTGAGTTGTTGACAACAAGAAAAAGAAATGCCACATGTCAATCTTTTATTTAAACCCAAAAATATATTATATATTAATATATAGATAAGAATAAGTATTAGAATATTCTTGGTAGTTTAGATTCCTGTTTATTTTTGGGAGAATTTGGTAGAAAGCCAAGTGTGGGTCTGAAATTAGGAAAATAGCAAAGGGAAAATATATTAGAAGGAACTAGCTAAAGGGTACCGCAAAGTGATTTTTCGAAGTAGATATTTACGTCTTATGCCACTGGGTACGCGTGGTGGAGTTGGGGAGCATTAACGAGGTTGCTTGATTCGGTATATGTGAGCATTAACATGTTTGAGCATTTATGGAATTAAGGCTGACGTTGATGTTCGTAATTAATGTGGAGACATAAGATATCTTCCGCCGCCTTACGTAAGCATGATCTACAAGGATGTGATAGCGAGTTTATGCAATTTGTAATGCTGCAACAAGATCTTGGACGGCCCGGGCGGGAAATGCAAAAATCACGGCACACCTAGGTTTATGGACACTCCATAAATAGTCGTTTGTGCCTCTTATCCCATATAGATTGCTGCCTTACAAATCGGGTAAATTATTTAGAATCAATTCTTACTATATATGAATATCTACGTCAAAAGTTGAAGGTCCGTTTGTATTAATAACCACATATCCTTAGGTCCATTATTCTCAGGAGTCACAACGATGGTTCAACTTTGGGAAGTGCTGAGTGATCTGGTTCGCGCGGAGCAAGGCTGGTGGATGAAAGATGCCGGGGGGGGGGGGTTTGGCGGTTCGTGTTATTGGAGGACAGGCTTAGCAAGGGTATACGTCTGCGCGAGGGCCAGGGGTTAGGTACGGTGAAGTCAATAGTTTGTAGAGAGCTAAACATAAATGTGGAGGAGGAGAACATCAAGCAGACGTACGAAATGCCGGAGTGGATGGATGAAGACAGAGTTGTGAAACCGGTGCCAGTTCATATTCGAAACGACGCAGATATGGACATGTTCCTGGCTATGCGAGTGGATCTCCAACGAGCTGAAGCTGTACGTGGTTCCTATGCCAAAAACATGACTCTTGATATAGAGGGGTTCTCGGTGGTCCCGGTAACGCACGGTTTTATATTGGCTGAGGTTCTTCGGAGGAGTCCAAGTGGGCCCCTCGTGGTGGCTGTGCCTTCTGCAAGCAGCAGCGACAACTTCCATGGGACTCAGGCATCGAAGGACACACCGGACGAGGGGGAAAGTAGCCGGCGAGTGACAGTGTCCTGGCTCGCCTGTAGGTTGGGTGCATCACAGGCCCACAAAGGTCGTAGCAGAGATAAAGAGATAATGGTCGACGGCGGGGGCGACGGGTCGGTGCTGCCAGAGACGGATCGAAGCCTACCGGACGTATCCGAGACGACGGATAGGCGTCACCCTATTAGTGATTTGTTTCCACGTGGCGTAATAGACCGTAAGTATCCATATACATGTCTACATGGTGGCATGGATGTGCATTAGTAATAATCTCTATAGTTAATGTGGCAGATGTCAACGAGGGCGTGAGGGCACGTGAGGAGGACAAAAGGAATGGTGGTGTATCCAACGCAGATCCAGATACGGGTAGGCCGACAAACAAACAATGACACATTTTTACTACAAAAGTGTGATTTATACACAATACAGATACATAATCAGATATAAATAGCACGGCCACTGTGGCATGCATTTGTTAAGTACTATTTTATTTCATCAAATCCGTATCAGCTCATCATTCTCCCTTGCCGCAGGTGGAGATGACGAGGTTGCTACTGGCGATAATTCCTGCAGTGGTGCCGCAATCCTGTGATTCGTCTTGCCACTCTAGCGTGTCTGCTGGAATGTCATGGGTGTGTGATTCTATAATTGAAGACACGACAACCTGCAATACGTGACCAGCATTAGATAATATGACGACGCACATCAGAAAATTCAAACAAATCTGATGGGTAGCTAAACATGAACCCCCATCTACTAATATATACGTTTACATTATTTTGTCAATGTTTTACCTGGCCGGACGAATCCAGATCCCAGAGCTTATCGAGTTTGAGAGTGCTGACTGTAGCGCACTCTTCCTCCTCCGACTCGCTCCCGCTTTCTCCCCCCCCCCCCCGTCGTCATCAGCGCTGCTGGGACCGCCTTAAGAAGAACCAACTGGACGGCGTGAATAAAACCCTGAACAGCAACGGTAGGCTGTGCTAGCTGAGTGGTGGTGCGTGATTTGATGCACTGAACAGTCATATCGAAGCAATGCCGGCCCCAAGGGAAGCTGAGAAAATAGTCAAGGTCTCTGATCATCTCTACGTGGTCTTTAGGGATCTTCATGCCTGCGGATTTACGGCAAAGCAGTCCATCGACTCTGAGTAGACATGCATATTTGACTTTCATCTCGCTGGACAGGTTTTTTGAGCGCCTTAGCATTGCCTTCAGCTTCTCCCCGGTGACATTTTCGTCACCCCCGAATAAAGTGAACCAGTATGGGACTTCTCCGGGTTTACACTTA